TTCAATGCATGACTTGATTGTACAGCAATCAATTGAATACAGATCAACTCTTGCCATCAGAACTAATCATGATTCACATGCACCCATATCAATAAAATCAGTATCACTTGAGATGAAAACGGATAGTTACTTTTGCTCAGGACTGTAGATTGAGAGGTTCTTATGTTGGAAGTCGACAAAGAATTTTATCAATAGCAACATAGAAGTTTTTCATAAGAGACGACTGGAAAAGGGAACGGTGCAACTGAAACCGGAAATAATTGAAAAGATGGAAGTGAGAGATGTAGCATTTATGGACATAGTAAGAAGTTTTCACTTTTGTGAAACTCATATTATGCTTTTCGAACATAAATATAGTATTTTAAGTTGAAGTTTTTTGATTGCTTCCATCATAGCAATAAAGCAGAATGCCAACGGTTTTTGCATATATTTATATAGGAGCCAAGAACAGGCGTTGAACTTCTTTATCAGGATTTCTTAGCGTCAGCAGAAGACGCTGAACGACATTAAGAATAAGACTGTGATTGTCCTAGAACGTTCTGAAGCTTTCGTTGAAATTTGAATCGTTAGAATATGTTTGCCAATGTTTTCGATAGTATAGTTAATGAAATGCCAAAATGGATGTGAATATGGTCTATAAACGTGATCCACTCTTCAGCTACAGCATTTTTTCTCTTTTTATTTTATTATATATGTGAATATTTTTGAAACGGCATATTTTTAATAACTGATGGTAATTGATGATGAACATCGATCATAATACAACGTTTTAAACGACTTCATTCTTGTCGATTAGATGTTTCTAATAACAATAGCATAAATGTTTGAATTTCAAGTATCTATACTCCTTCCTTCCATTAATATATTATCATACTGAAACAAAACATCGAAATCCAAAACAAAATTCTTTTGTTTTTATTATTTTAAAACTACACTGAACACGATCATGTCGTTTTAATGCTGCATGTAAACATGTCATAGCAATAATTTTAGCTTCACATATAAATAAGTATTTGGCACGATCAGAATCATTATGCATTAATTCAAACGAACGAAATTCTTCTATTTGTCTTAATATTTATTGAATATAACGAAAACGACTCTTATCTATTTCTAAATTATCTTCGAATGCTTGTTTATTATCAAATAAATCAAGGTTTAGAATCCGAAAATTTCTTTCAATGGAAATAAATTTATTAATATATCGAAAGTATTATTTGATTGATTGGTCTTACTGAAATATTCTTCTCAATGTGATAATATATTGTAAATATAAAAATGCAACTGTTTCACATTTATATGACAAATCATTTTGAGCATTTAAACTGTTTTGTAGACGTTCAATTTGTTCAAAGTGCTTCCAAACGTTTTTTTATATATAAGTAACGTGCCTGTAACGACTAAAATCTTTATCAGTTTCAACTTTTTCTTCACTGTGACCAATACTAAGTAAATGCCTTTCATTAACACCAAATGCCATAATTTTTTTTAAGAATTGACTTAGTGCTTGATTAGAATATGTTCCAAGTTGACCAGGATAATTATAATAAGAATTTGAAATAATTATTGCAGTAACATCAATTTTATCTGTATCTGAAAAGCCAACAAGGGTGTGGATGTGGGTTTACTTCTACGAGTCAAACATACCCGCCTCCACATCGACACCAATTTGCACAGTCAATATATCTTGTTCTCGCACTCATTTTATCAACAAATATAGAAACATGAATGTATAAGTATGAATGCTATTTCAGACAACACGCTATTATGTTTTTCATGAATAGGACAGATATGAGAAAAGTAATGGCGAGTTTTTTTTTTTCTGAGAAGTTTTCTATTGCAATGTTGATAGTTCCTCTAGATATTCAAGATTTACATTTCTCTGTTTTTGAATACTGCTGATATCGACAACAACAAACTCAGTGCATACTCTACACCAATGTTTTTTGCCTTTCAATTGTTTTGCGTTTAAGCGTATTTATCAGTTGACATTGCTCTTTCCGACGAAATTAAAGTCTGTCATGATATTTTTATTGCTCTCTGTAATCGTAAGTAATTACTTATTATCTTTCATGGTCAAGTTCGTTTATGGAGACAATAAAAGTCGATGTAAAAACATAAGAAATAACAGTTAAAAAGAAGAGCCATAAAACTAATGGTATTGATAGATTTTTCTCTTTCCTATGTTATTGACAGCGTGTTTATCTATAAAACTTGGTAGAATTTATTATTGATTGTAAGTGAAAATAAAACGTGCGCATTTTAATTTTTGTAAAATCGATAAGAAAAAGGCGGGAATCAAATTTATATATCATAAAGTTGCAACTTATCCAAATAGTAATTGCTTTTTCTTTGTCGTTTTGGATTATCGGTCAAAAGTTACCACATCACAGCCAAAATGAGTCGACAAGGAAAACATTATATGATTCAGAACTATTTCGTCATATGGGTACATCAAAGCACTGACCCAGCCAACCAAGCTTGTCAAAATATTCTCGCACAATTACACAATGTTGTCAATGAAGTGAAGTCTTGTACGACAATGGAAGAATGTATTCAAACTCTCAATGAAAACAAAGAGAAATCGTCATTCATCATTTGCTCTGGTGCATTTAGTCAACATTTCGTACCAGACATTCATGATATGGAAAAAATACATGCCATATATATCCTATGTGAGAACGAACAACGATATAAAGAATGGGCCAATAATTGGACGAAAGTGAAAGGCATTCATATATCAATCAAGTCAATCTGCGAAGCCCTAGTAATGGCAGTCAAGCAATTGAATGAAAACAACATGGCAGTAAGTATAATTAGTGAAAATGAAGCAGACTCCAATGAAAATCTTAATCAACTAGAACCTCAGTTCATGTATACTCAAATATTCAAAGAAATTCTTCTTGATATAGAACATGACGAACAAGCCATTAAAGATCTGGCTATTTTTTGCCGAGAATTGTACAAGAAAAATGATATAGAAACGAAAATTATTAATGAATTCGAACATACCTATCAACCATCAAAGGCTATTTGGTGGTATACACGTGAATGTTTCACGTACAAAATGCTCAATGGAGCGTTACGCACACTGAACGGTGACATTATAATACGAATGGGCGTTTTTCTTCGTGACGTACACCGACAAATCGAAGCATTATACAATAAACAAGTCAGTCAGTATCGTGGAGAGGCCTTTCGAGTTTATCGGGGTCAGGGCTTATCCAAAAATGATTTCGATAAACTAAAAAAAAGCAAAGGCGGACTTCTGTCCTTCAATAATTTTTTATCTACAAGTACAAAGCGAGAAGTGTCACTAGGCTTCGCCAAAGGTGCATTAGGAACAGTCGGTATGGTCGGTATTCTTTTTGAAATGACCATAGATCCTAATGTCTCGTCGACTCCCTTTGCCTTGGTTCGCGAAGTCAGTGATTTTGTGGAAGAAGACGAAGTACTCTTTTCGATGCATACAGTTTTTCGCATCAATGACATTCAAAAACTTGATGACAAGCGTCCACTGTATCAACTGGATCTTAAACTTACGTCAGATGATGACAAACAACTCCGTCAGTTAACCGATTTTATACGAAAAGAATCTCCAGGACCAACTGGATGGACAAGATTAGGTAGGTTGCTGCTCAAGATAGGTCAATATGACAAGGCTGAGGAGTTATATATGATACTACTCGAACAGGCATCTAATGATAACGATAAAGCAATTATTTTTCATCAGCTTGGAGAGGTAAAAAACTACAAAGGACAATACAAAGAAGCTGCTTCATTTTTCGAAGAATTCTTTGAAATAAATCGAAAAAGTTTCCCAGAGGATGACCCTTGCTTCGTGACTTTCTACAATAATATTGGTGAGGTTTACAGAAATATGGGTAACCACACGAAAGCACTTGAATTTTACGAAAAAGGAGTTAAACTCTTCGAGAAATACTTGCCTTCGAATCATCCTTACTTGGCGCCTTCCTACCACAACATCGGTGCACTGTATAAAGATGTGGGCAACTACTTCAAAGCACTTGAATTTTTCAATAAATCTAATAGAATACTAGAAAACACGTTGCCGGCTAATCATCCGAACTTAGCCATTTCGTACAATAATATTGGCATGGTATATAATAGCATGGGCTATTATTCGAAGGCGCTTGAATTTTTTGAAACAGCACTTAAAATACAAGAAATAGCACTACCTCCGAACCATCCGTCATTAGCCACTTCTTATAGCAACATCGGCGGAATGTATAAAAACATGGGCAACTACTCTAAGGCGATTGAATATTACGAGAAAGATGTAGAAATATCAGAAAAGACTTTGTCACCGAATCATCCGAAGTTGGCTAATTCATACACTAACATTGGTACGATTTATGATGTGATGGGTGATTATCCAAAAGCATTGTTATTTCACGAGAGAGCAATTAAAATACAAGAAATAGCTCTGCCTTCGAATCATCCGTCATTAGCTACTTGCTACAACAATATCGCTACAGTTTATACAAACATTGGTAACTACTCTAAAGCAATTGAATATTACGGGAAAGATCTGGAAATCTCAGAAAAAGCTCTGCCTTCAAATCATCCCGATTTGGCTGCTTCATACACCAACATCGGTACAGTGTCTAGCGACATGGGTGACTACTCGAAAGCACTTGTATTTTACGAAAAAGCACATAAAATCTACGAAAAAGCTCTGCCAGCTAACCATCCATCACTGGCTATGTCCTATACTAATCTTGGCTCTGTGTATTATGACATTGGTGATTGTACAGCAGCTCTCAAAGCCCTTCAAAATGCTTTTCTCATTCTCCGGAAAGCACTGAAAGAGGATACGATAGATGCTGTTGCTGCATACATATGGTTTGGAAGAATTTATCAAAGTANTTCCGCGCGATCGGCCTCTCCTTTCGAAAGTTATCGTGTAAACGGCCGGACGGCCGGCCGGCCGGACATACTGACCGATTCTAGAGTGTACTCACTTTTTGAGTACACAATCACTTTTTGAGTACACAAAAATGTGGAATTCCTTCTGATACGCCAACATCATTGAAATTTGCTACATTAATTAATTGACAATCATAAACAAATTCGACATTTGTTGTTTTAAATTCTTTTTGTTGTAAAACATGTTCTAAATTTTCGATATTTTTACAATGCCAATTATATAATGAACAAAGTACTGCTCGTATACAACTTTGTGTATCTAAATCAATGGTTGGTACATCAAGACGAACTAAACGTGTAAATAAAGCTTGTTCTATATTTGAATATTTTTGAAACGGCATATGTTTAATAACTGGTGGTAGTTGATGATGATCATAGATCATAATACAACGTTTTAAACGACTTCGTTCTTGTTGATCAGATGTTTGTAATTACAATAATATAAATGTTTCAATTTCAAGTATTTATACTGCTTCTTCTATTAAAATATTACCATACAAAAAACAAAACCGAAATCCAAAACAAAATTCTTTTGTTTTTATTATTTTAAAACTACACTGAACAAGATCATGCCATTTTAATGCAGCATGTAAACATGTCATAGCAATAATTGTAGCTTCACGTACTAATAAGTATTTGGCACGATCAGAATCATTATGCATTAATTCAAACGAACGAAATTCTTCTATTTGTCTTAATATTTATTGTATATAACAAAAACGACTCATATCTATTTCTAAATTATTTTCGAATGCTTGTTTATTATCAAATAGATCAAGGTTTAAAATCCGAAAACTTCTTTCAATGGAAATAAATTTATTACTATATCGAAAGTATTATTTGATTGATTGGCTTTACTCAAATATTCTTCTCGATATGATAACATATTGTACATATAAAAATGCAGCTGTTTAACATTTATATGATAAATCGCCTTGAGCATTTAAACTGTTTTGTAGACGTGTAATTTGTTCAAGTGCTTCTAAACGGTTATATATATATATCAGTAACGTGCTCGTAACGACTAAAATCTTTATCAATTTCAACTTCTTTTTCACTGTGACCAATACTAAGTAAATACCTTTCATTAACATCAAGTGCCATAATTTTTTCAAAGAATTGACTTAATGCTTGATTAGAATGTGTTCCAAGTTGACCAGGATAATTATAATAAAAATTTGAAATAATTATTGCAGCAACATCAGTTTTATCTGTATCTGAAAAGCCAACAAGGGTGTGGATGTGGGTTCAGTTCTATGAGTCAAGCATACCCGCACCCACATCGACACCAGTTTGCATAGTCAACATATCTTGCTCTCGCACTCATTTTATCGACAAATATAGAAACATGAATGTATAAGTATGAATGCTATTTCAGGCAACACGCTATTATGTTTTTCATGAATAGGACAGATATGAGAAAAGTACTGGCGAGTTTTTTTTTCTGAGAGGTTTTCTATTGCAATGTTGATAGTTCCTCTAGATATTCAAGATTTACATTTCTCTGTTTTTGAATACTGCTGATATCGACAACAACAAACTCAGTGCATACTCCACACCAACATTTTTTGCCTTTGGAATTGTTTTGCGTTTAAGCGTATTTATCTGTTGACATTGCTCTTTCCGACGAAATTGGAGTCTGTCATGATATTTTTATTGCTCTCTTTACTCGTACATAATTACTTATTATCTTTCATGGCCAAATTCGTTTTATGGAGACAATAAAAATCAATGTAAAAACATAAGAAATAACAGTTAAAAAGAAGAACCATAAAACTAATGGTATTGTTGGATTTTTCTCTTTTCTATGTTATTCACAGCGCGTTTATCTATAAAACTTGGTAGAATTTATTATTGATTGTAAGTGAAAAAAAAACGTGCGCATTTTAATTTTTGTAAAATCGATAAGAAAAAGACGGACATCAGATGTATAAATCACAAAGTTGCAACTTATCCAAACAGTAATTGCTTTTTGTTTGTCGTATTGGATTATCGATCAAAAGTTACAACATCACAGCCAAAATGAGTCGACAAGGAAAACACTATATGATTGAGAACTATTTCGTCATATGGGCACATCAAAGCACTGACCCAGCCAACCAAGCTTGTCAAAATATTCTCGCACGATTACACAATGTTGTCAATGAAGTGAAGTCTTGTACGACAATGGAAGAATGCATCCAAACTCTCAATGAAAAAAAAGAGAAATCGGCATTCATCATTTGCTCTGGTGCATTTAGTCAACATTTCGTACCAGACATTCATGATATGGAAAAAATATATGCCATATATATCCTATGTGAGAACGAACAACGATATAAAGAATGGGCCAATAATTGAACAAAAGTGAAAGGTATTCATATATCAATCAAGTCAATCTGCGAAGCCCTAGTAATGGCAGTCAAGCAATTGAATGAAAGCAACATGGCAGTAAGTGTAATTAGTGAAAATGAAGCAGACTCCAATGAAAATCTTAGTCAACTAGAGCCTCAATTCATGTATATCCAAATATTCAAAGAAATTCTCCTTGATATAGAACATGACGAACAAGCCATTAAAGATCTGGCTAATTTTTGCCGAGAATTGTACAAGAAAAATGATGCAGAAAAGAAAATTATTAATGAATTCGAACATATCTATCAACCATCAAAGGCTATTTGGTGGTAGACACGTGTATGTTTCACGTACAAAATGCTCAATGGAGCGTTACGGACACTGAACGGTGACATTATAATACGAATGAGCGTTTTTCTTCGTGATGTACACCGACAAATCGAAGCATTATACAATAAACAAGCCAGTCAGTATCATGGAAAGATCTTCCGAGTTTATCGGGGCCAGGACTTATCCAAAAATGATTTTGACAAACTAGAAAAAAGCAAAGGCGGACTTCTGTCCTTCAATAATTTTTTTATCTACAAGTACGAAGCGAGAAGTGTCGCTAGGCTTCGCCAAAGGTGCCTTAGGAACAGCCGGTATGGTCAGTATTCTTTTTGAAATGATCATAGATCCTAATGTTTCGTCGACTCCCTTTGCCTTGGTCTGCGAAGTCAATGATTTCGTGGAAGAAGATGAAGTACTCTTCTCGATGCATACATTTTTTCGCATCAATGACATTCAAAAGCTTGATGATAAGCGTCCACTGTATCAACTGGATCTTAAACTTACATCAGATGATGACAAACAACTCCGTCAGTTAATCGATCTTATATGAAAAGAATCTCCAGAACCAACTGGATGGACAAGATTATGTAGGTTGCTGCTCAAGATAGGTCAATATGATAAGACTGAGGAGTTATATATGATGCTACTCGAACAGGCATCTAATGATAACGATAGAGCAATTATGTTTCATCAGCTTGAAGAAGTAAAAAACTGCAAAGGACAATACAAAGAAGCTGCTTCATTTTTCGAACAATTCTTGGAAATAAATCGAAAAAGTATCCCAGAGGATGATCCTTGCTTCGTGACTTTCTACAATAATATTGGTAAGGTTTACAAAAATATGGGTAACCACGCGAAAGCACTTGAATTTTACGAAAAAGGAGTTAAACTCTTCGAGAAATACTTGCCTTCGAATCATTCTTACTTGGCGCCTTCCTACCACAACATCGGTGCACTGTATAAAGATATGGGCAACTACTTCAAAGCACTTGAATTTTTCAATAAATCTAATAGAATACTAGAAAACACGTTGCCGGCTAATCATCCAAACTTAGCCATTTCGTACAATAATATTGGCAGGGCGTATAATAGCATGGGTTATTATTCAAAGGCGCTTGAATTTTTCGAAAAAGCACTTAAAATACAAGAAATAGCACTACCTCCGAATCATCCGTCATTAGTCACTTCTTATAGTAACATCGACGGAATGTATAAAAACATGAGCAACTACTCTAAGGCGATTGAAAATTACGAGAAAGATGTAGAAATATCAGAAAAAACTTTGTCCCCGAATCATCCGAATTTGGCTAATTCATACACCAACATCGGTACAGTGTCTAGCGACATGGGTGACTACTCGAAAGCACTTGTATTTTACGAAAAAGCACATATAATCTACGAAAAAGCCCTACCAGATAACCATCCATCACTGGCTATGTCCTATACTAATCTTGGCTCTGTGTATTATGACATTGGTGATTATACAGCAGCTCTCAAAGCCTTTCAAAATGCTTTTCTCATTCTCCGGAAAGCACTGAAAGAAGATACGATAGATGCTGTTGCTACATACATATGGTTTGGAAGAGTTTATCAAAGTAAGAAAGATTACTCAAGGGCATTGGAATATTTTGAAAAATGCCTTGCAATACTTCAGAAAGTGTTACAGGAGAGGCATCCTCTTATAGCTATTGCATACACTAGTATCGGTGATGTTCATCGATTAATGTGTGATTATGAAAAGGCACTTTCAGTTCATCGAAAAGCATTAGATATTCAAGAAAACTGCTCAAAGCAATGCTCTCAAGTGTCCCGCAACATATACAAATCTAGGCGAAACTTATCGAGAAATGAAAGATTATTCAACAGCGTTGACATATTTTCAAAAAGCATTACAAATACGTGAAAACAAACTACCAAAAAATCATCCTCATTTCGCTGTGATCTATCACAATTTGGCGAAATTGTATTTGGCTACTGAAGAATATAGCATGGCAATGGAATATATTCAACAAGCGATAGATATTGGTCAGAAGAGTCTATCTTCAACTCATCCTCATCTTTTGAACTACAAAGAAACATTTGAAGAAATTAGAATGAAGTTGTGAAAGTCTTGTTTTTTTATTACTAAATAAACTAGTTTGAATTGCTATTCATTCATTCTCATAAGTACGACAAATTGGTATAGAAATTAATAAACTCGCTCCAGACTGCTGGGACAATTAATGTAAACATGTTATGCAATAATGACGAGAGAAACCTATGAAAATGGAAGGCCTATCAGAGTACTCATAGCTGTTTCCATCAAACTAGGATCAATCGCTTTCGGCTGTGTTACGAAGCCACCAGAAAGACTGTGATATAATTTGGTACTTCACTATGTATGCAGAAATAACATACGTAAAACTTGTGCATTAGCATGCATAAGTAGGAATAAAGTACACAAGATGTATACAAAAGAAGAAAAAAATATTTCTTTTGAAATCCATGTTCTATTTCTCATTTTCCTATTGTCTCGACAAATTGTGTTATTGAGCTTGAGAGTGTGGGTGCAGTTTATTAATTTCTATACCAATTTGTCGTACTTATGAGAATGAATGAATAGCAATTCAAACTA